TGCTCAGTATTAACCTGCTGCTAGCAATAGATCTGCATTGTTGGGTCTAGAAGGTTATTGAGCCCTGACCTCTAGCCCCACCCCTCTAGCACCTACCAGAGTCAGATCTTTTCTGATTGCAAATGGTAGTGCTCCCTGTGGGAGTTTGTCTTCTTGGCTGCCTCAGTTGTGCTGAGTCACCGAGCTTTCTCAGTGGCTTTCCAAGAAAGTCTGGGCCAAAATCTGACTACTTTGGTCAAATTAATCTCTTTTCCATAGTTACTCTTTCTTGTTGGCATTTGCACAGGAAACAGAATGTTAGTTGTTTGATCTCAGGGTTGGTGGTATTATGCTGAGGCCTCCAAGACTAATGTTTGTCTGAGGTTTATTTTATCCCTCAGAGTTAAGGGTGATCCAACCCTATTTTATTAGCTCTCTGTTCAAATGTGTATATAATTTTCTCCTTTTTGCTGGAAGGACCGGGACTGCAGTAGATGCTAGGGTTGCTGTGACCACAGCATGGGGAAGGCAGGGATTTCCTTGCTGGAATGCCTCAGTCTATTTTGGAGCGGTGGGATTTCTTTGCCTGCTCTCACATTTGGAATAGGGACAAGTTCATCTTAGAGGGTCAGCTTGTCTACACAAAAGCTTAGTTTGTTGCAAGCTGGGATGTAAATCTACCTCACACTAGCCTGCCATGTACTAAACATCTGTGTGGACCCTGCTGCCACACACTCTAAGTTCCCTAGTGCACTTTGATTTACATCTGTTTCAAAGAGGGGTATATCAAACTGTACTAGGGAACTTTTAGGGCATAGCAACAGGGTCCAGCTAGACCCTTAGTGCACTATGTAGACGAGCCCTAGTCCACACCAAGGGGGTGTAAATTTCTAATGCACACCAGCATGTTGCTAACTGAAAGTTCTTCAAGTTACTGTTTTTATGGGTGCTCCACCACAGGATGTGCCCACACCATTGTGCTGTCAATCAGAGATTATAGTCAGCAGTGCCTGCGGGTCCAGGCCTATGGTTCATCATCAGCACAGAGCCATTACTTATACCATGTTCTTCCCTTTTGGTTTTTCAACTGCCCCAAGAGTCTTTACAAAGCTCCTCTTTGTCATCACAGCTCACTTATGTCAACAGAGAATAAGTTTTCCCCCTCTCTGGACGATCGGCTCCTTAAGGGTCACTCCTTCCTCAAGGTCCAGTCAGCAACCAACAAGGCCTTGTTTCATTCCCTGGACCTTCCTCTGAACATGGACATGTCCTACCCTAACACTGGTACAGCTCATAGACTTTATCAGAGTCACTCTGGACTCCTCAATTGTCAGGGCTACCTACTTGCAGACAGATTCACTACAATGACCTACCTGTGGACAGGTTCACCACAGTCTCATCTCCACACTGCAGCAG